ATCATGTTACTTATCTTCTCAGACCAGCACATTTCTTTTTTTTTTTTCTTTTTTGCTTTTTGAGTCACACCCGGCGATGCTCAGGGCTGACTCCTGGCTCTGCATTCAGGAATTGCTCCTGGTGGTGCTTGAGGGACCATATGGGATGCTGGGAATCGAATCCGGGTTGGCCGCATGCAAGGCAATCGCCCTCCCCTCTGTGCTATTGCTCCAACCCCCCAGCACATTTCTTGCCCAGACTGAAGACACTGGTTGACGTTTGTTGGGTGGTTGATGAAACCTCGCTTGGCTTGTTTTCTGTGACTACACTGAGCATCTTTTCTGAACTCTTTCCCCTGGCCGGTCAGCGGTGTGAGCACAGCCTGGGAGTTGAGAGGCAGGCCTTTCCGTTCAAAGGGTGTGCAGTCTACATCAGCTCACTTCTTGGTGTTGCCGTTTCCTCCTCTGAAAGAAGACGTACCAGTAGCCATTGGGGGATGGTGGGAGGATCAAAGGAGGGACACTTGACCAAAGTCTAGCACGAAGCAGGCCTTTCCTTTGATTAAAAAAAATGCTATTTTCAGGTTCAGTGAATGTCCTTTGTATCTTATTTCAAAAAAATCTTTGTCAAGAGTCAGACAGTATTTATTACACACTTGTCAACTCTTCGAACTGGGAGAAACTCAAGCAAGCTGGTCTCAGAGTTTAATGTGCATCTGTGTCCATTGGCCATAGATCTGTTCAAATGCACACTCTGGTCCAGGGGTCTGGTTCTGGGATCCGGAAGCTGAGCGTCTGCAGAACTAACTCGCTTTATTTAGGAGGACGTTGCTGCCTCTCTCGCCGGTGTGCTTGCTGGAACAGGACAAATAAAAACCCCAATACTTCTGTTCCTTTAGCCAGACATATGATTTCTTATCATAATATAACATTGGGCTGGAACGATAGCATAGCGGGTAGGGTGTTTGCCTTGCAAGCGGGCAACATGGTCGACCGGAGTTCGATTCCTTTGCCCCTCTCGGAGAGCCCGGCAAGCTACCGAGAGTATCTCGCCCGCATGGCAAATTCTGGCAAGCTACCGTGACGTATTTGATATGCCAAACACAGTAACAATTGTCACAATAGAGACGTTACTGGGCCTGCTCGAGCAAAATAAATGAACAACAGGAGGACAGTGACAGTGACAATATCACATTCACCCGCCACATAAGTTTGTAACATATCTGGGAACTCCCCATTATAGAAAAGACATATTCTATAAGCCCGCTCTGTAAACGAGTCTTTCTAGATCCTTTCTAGACCCAAAGGGCTTCTAGACCCTTTGGCCGTAACCTTGGTGCCTGTCTCATGGCAACTGCTGGTGAATTCAAAGACAGCCTTGTCTCATAATACAGACTCTCTTAATTGTCTCTATAATCTGGTCTGCTAAATGAACACCTGAGAAGTGTTCATACTTGTGGTTGCAGAGCATGAAAGTCACGGAATATCAGGATTTAATTTATAAACAAAAGGGTCTTGTGAAGGTCCTGGATTTTTTTTTCCTTTCTGTTTTTGTTTGTTTGTTTGAAGCCGCTGCTTAGATTTTCAGAGTTGCAATCCTGACCCCTAGTGGAAACAGCAAACGTGTCTTCCTGGCGTCTTCCTTAACTGTTTACTCCACTTAACTGCGTTCTTCAGCGATGTCAGAGTGCTTGCAATATGCGAAGAAAAGTCAGATATTCCCGACTATTGGGTTACAGTGTTCCTACTGCGGAACTCGGTTCTGTTGGCCAAAGCAGTAGCGTAATCCGCTCAGATTCACAAAGCGAGGACAGGCCTCAGTGTGTCACTCAGAGAGGGGTGTGTGTGTGTGTGTGTGTGTGTGTGTGTGTGTGTGTGTGTGTGTGTGTGTCCCCAGCACCTCAGAAGAGAGAAAGGTATAGACACACCCCCCTCATCTCTCAATAGGAGAAGTGTCAGAGAATTCCAGGGCTGGAGCAATAGTACAACAGAGAGGGCACTTGCCTTGCACGCAGCCTACCTGGGTTCAATCCCCGGCATCCCAGATGGTTCCCAAGCATACAATAAGTGATTTTTTTTTTTTAGTGCAGAACCAGGAGTAAATCCTGAGCATCACCAGATATAGCCCCAAAAAGCCAAAAAAAAAAAAGATTATAATCATCTTTAATTCAATTCGATATGCCAGACACAGTAACAACAAAGTCTCCAATGGAGACGTTACTGGGCCCGCTCGAGCAAATCGACGATCAACGGGAGGGCCTTTACCTTTACCTTTTAATTCATCATAGATATCGTTAAACAAAGTCATACTGAGTTTGCTGAAGAGGTGGGATTAGTGAAAAACACCTGGGCCTTATTTTTGTCTGGCTTTATCACTTACTAACAGCATGGCATCTCTAAACCTCAGACGCTGCCTTTACAATGGTGCCATAAATGCCATAGAGAGTTGTTGGGAGGATTCAGTGGGGAGAAGATGAAAAGTCTCTGATCCTAGGTGAGTGGGCAGTGACCGCATGGGCCTAATGGTTGTGACGCTTGCCCTCTGCTTAGAAGCCGCTCGGGGTGTTATTCCCCCCTGCAAGGCCATGTTACTCTCCTCCAGCAGGAGCCGGATGTTGGGGGTCCCTTCCCTCCACACAGTACCCATCTTGTATGGCTCCTGAAGGCCTCTGACGGGTTCCCTGGCGCAGCCTGTCTGCTCCCTCCAGGCCCCCGGCTGCCTGCTCATCAGCCAGAATGTTCTGTGCCTCTGTTGGCGGCCCTGCTCTGCTGCCTTTGTGTGGCATTGGGGGTGCTCCCTTGTCACCGTGCAGGATCTCCCCAGGCCTCACTTGGGAGCAGTTTTTGGATTTGGGAAGATCACTGGTGGATGCACCTTAAAGGGAAGGTGGGGCCGGGCTGCGATCTCGGGAGTTTGAAGCAGAGGCCCTCTGGAGTTTAAGGACCCCTCCGGAACCCCGGGGTTGACCTTACAGGAAGAGGTGCAGACACTCTTCCCACATCTCGTTCTGCCAGCAATCAACTACTCTTTGTGGGTGTTTTCAAGTGAGACACTGTCCTCCCGTTGTTCATCCATTTGCTCGAGCGGGCCCAGTAATGTCTCCATTTTGAGACTTGTTGTTCCTGTGTTTGGCATATTGAATATGTCACGGGAAGCTTGCCAGGCTTTGCTACACGGGCGAGATACTCTTGGTAGCTTGCCGGGCTCTCCGAGAGGGAAGGAGGAATTGAACCCAGCTCGGCTGGGCTGGCTGTGCGCAAGGCAAACGCCCCACCGCTGTTCTGGGTTTCTGTAGAAGACACCTACTTTTTACCTTCTCTCTGCTCTCTTGCTCTCTCGTTCTCTCTCTCGTTCTCTCTCTCTCTCTCCCCCCCGCCCCCCATAATAGGGTGTGTGAAATACCTAGGAAGGGTTTGGTTCATTTATTTATTCAATGAGCTGTCTTCTCTGACAGTGTTCAGAGGCATTTTTTTTTTAACTAAAAAATTCACAACTGGGGCCTGAGCAGTAGTTGCAATGGGCAGGGCATTTGCCTGGCACACCGCCAACCCAGATTCAGTCCTCGGCACCCCACATGATCCCCTGAGCCCTGCCAGGAGTGAGCAAAGAGCCATAAGTAAGCCTTCAGCACTGCTGGATGTGGACCCAAAACCAAAATAATTTTTAAAATTAGTACATGTTTTTTTAAAAAAATCACCACTGAATAGAGGAAAACCGGGAGGAAAGTTCATTTTTCTAAGTATAGATTGAGGGGCTGCTCAGAGTAAGAAGCCAGCCCCTTTCCACTGCCCTTGGGTTTGTTGCTAAATTTCGGATTTTCACATCAGCTCATAATTTTGGACTCCCCCATCATTGCCATTTGATAAGGGGCTTGAGAAGATCTCTCTACCCGGGCCTGGAATGGTAGCACAGTGGGTAGGGTGTTGTCCTTGCACACAGCCAACCTGGGTTCGATTCCCAGCACCCCATAGGGTCCCCCGAGCACCGCCAGGAGTAATTCCTGAGTGCAGAGCCAGGAGGAACCCCTGAGCATTGCTTGATGTGACCCAAAAAGAAAAAAAAAAGATGATCTCTCAAACCTTGGACCCAAGCAGGTGGTCCAGAGATTGATGGCAAGAAAACAGTTGGTTGCTGGACTCAGGATCTGAGTCCTTGGTCCTTGGAAGAGTCTGAGCCTTGAATGTGTGTTGACCTGAGTAATGGTGGCAATGATGAGCATTTTACGAGAGCATCGAATAGCACCTACAGCTGGAGTAAGTCTCTCACAGAAGGGGGCGCCGTGGCTTTCAGTCTCCTGGTTACATTTATGTGGAATGGGAAGATGGAAGTCCAGGGTCTGGGAGAAAATCCCCCACTGTGTTCTCATCAGTACCAAGTCAGATTTAGGTTAGCAAAGGGAAAATGAAGTTAATGCCAGAGATATGGAGAATTTGCGACTTTGAATTCTCAAGGAAAATAGGGCAGCCCTGGGGTATTTCTCCCAGTTTCAGGGGCACGTGGTGCACTGAGGCCAAGAGAAGAGAAGAGGAGAGGAGGAGAGGGGAGGGAGGAGGGAGGGGGGAAAGGGGAGGAGAGGAGAGGAGAGGAGAGGAGAGTTGAGTTTCCAGGCCAAGTGAAGGCTGATCTCAGCTGTACTCGCAGTGAAAACGTTTGTGCAGTGAAAAGACGTCTTTGTCTCTATACTCACACAACAGTGCTCCCCTCAGGCTGTCTTTTTCTAGGTCTGAAGGGGTCGCTTCTTCTGCTAGGGAAAGGACAAAAGACCGTGATGGATCAGAGCTTTTTTTCAGAACTGTCTTGGGGACAGTTTCTCCCAAGGCTCACAGTGGCTCCGTGCCCCCCATTCCCCCAGAACACGGTGACACGGACTGGAAAGGCCTGCTCTGGGCATGTGGGGAGATGACCTCCTGACCCCTCTGGGGAGACCGATCCCACACAAGCAGTTAGTGACTTTATTCACGTTGCTCTAAGATGATCTGTCAGTGCTGACTTGTAACCTCTGTCCGTTCCTTTGTTCCAGGGTCTGAACGTCATCTTCCACGTGGCATTGGCTCTCCTAAAGGTAAGTCTTGTTTCTGTTTGTAAATGACCGAACTCATCTCTCTGCCCTTGGAACTGAGCATAATCCAGAGTCTTAATTTATGTTTCTTTCATTTATGGTTTGGGGGCCCCTTCCAGTATGTGCTCCAGGCTCACTCCTGACACTGTGGTCAAGGGTCATTCCTGGTGAGGCTCGGGGGGCCACATGTGGTACTGGGGCTCAAAGCCAAGTCACTGTCCAAAACCAGCACGCTACCTGCTGCACTGTCACTCTAGTGTGATTCCATTTCCTAAAGACCAGACTTCTAAGTCAAGGGTTCTTCCCCTGCACCTATCCTTGACGTATTAGTTGTATTTTGTGCCATTGCTTTAATTTTTTTGGTTTTTGGCTCACACCCGACATTGCTCAGTAGAACTTACTCCTGGCTCTGCGTCCAGGGCTCATTGCTGGCAGGCTCGGGGGACCTTATGGGGTGCCAGCGATTGAACCCAGGTCAGCCGTATGCAAGGCAAGCGCCCTCCCCACTGTACTAACATTCTGGCTCTGTTATTGCTCTTCTTATAATCCGTTTTATCTTGCCATTGTAGCATACCTTCCAGTTATATATAAAGATTTTTTTCACACTTACGAGTTGGATGATATGTGAAGAAGTTGAAAACTGTTTTCTGTCAAAATGATGCCAGCTATTTTCTTCAAATATTTCTTAAGATAATAACATCCCCGGAGGTACCTAAACATGCCAGTGAATTATTAGAAAGCTTCTATAATCCACCACAGACTGAAAAAGAAACTGCTGGTTTCAATTTGCAGTGCTTTCTCTGATCACTAGAAATGTATAAGACACTTTAGAATTCAATTATAATTGCCTTGTTGGATTTTTATATCAACATATCAGTGCTGCTTTAACAGTGTCGTAACAGAACGACATTAGCTGCAGAGTTACTGAAAGTCATCCAGGCTGTTTTTGTCTGTAAAGAGGCTGTACCGTTATTGAGGGGAACGATTTTATTTCCCAGGGCTTCGGGCTCCTGTGTCCCCTGTCGAACACAGTGGTCCCCATCATGGCCCTCAACTCTCATTTTAGCTCTAGCACATGGCCTTGGGCAAGTGAGCCAAAGTGCGTACACTCTGAGTTTTGTGATCATAGGAGTTAATCTGTGGAATTGGTCTATCAGTTGATAAGTTGGTGCATGAAAATGCTTGCCACAGTGTCCAGAAAATTGTATTGCTAAAAAAGTGCTGGCTGCCATTGTTCTGGTTCCATTCATAGGATACTCAGCTGCAGGATCAGTTTCTAGATTCCCCAGATTCTTCTGTATGTCCCACAGGATACTGTCTTGATACCATCAGAGCCTCCCCTTGACCACTGAGGCCTTGGGTGGGAGTGGAGCTGGGGCTTGGTGGGACATGGTGGTGCATGGGACTGGGCTACTGTGTCTTTCTCATGGTGAAGGGACGCAGAAAGGGAAATTACTTTAAAAAAAAATTTAGAGAGCCAAAGAGATAGTACAGTGGGTAGGGCTCTTGCCTTGCATGAGATACGATCCTGGCATCCCATATGGTCCCCCAAGCACCACCAGGAGTAATTCCTGAGCACAGAGCAGGAGTAACCCTTGAGCGTCTCTGGGTATGGCCCCATAACCAAATAGTTAATTAATTTAAAAATTAGGGACCTTGATTTACAGTAGCATGAATATTAATGTTTCAAATATTAGTTAATATTCACTGTCACTGTCTTCCCATTTTTCATCGATTTACTCAAGCGGGTCCAGTAACGTCTCCATTGTGACACTTGTTACTGTATTTGGCATATCGAATACTTACCTAAGGTTAATTACTATGAACAGGCTGGAGCGATAGCACAGCGGTAGGGCGTTTGCCTTGCACGCAGCCAACATGGCTGACCCGAGTTCAATTCCTCCACCCCTCTCGGAGAGCCCAGCAAGCTACCGAGAGTATCTCGCCCGCACGGCAGAGCCTGGCAAGCTCCCCGTGACGTATTCGATATGCCAAACACAGTAACAACAAAGTCTCCAATGGAGATGTTACTGGGCCCGCTCAAGCAAATCAAGCAATTACTATGAAAAGTGTATTACTATTTGTGAGTTCACAAAATGAAGTACGGGTGAGTGCTGCAACAGTGCATGCATTCTTGGCCAAGAACCACCTCCTGTCCTCCCACCTCCCATCCTCCTCAGTTCTCCCCAGGCCTCCCTGGCAGACAGATAGAGAGGGGACCACAACCTGATGGTGAAAATGGCCCATTTAGTGCAGAGCGACCAGCACCCTTATAGAACATCTGAGGGGGCTTGAGGTAAGAACATAGGTGTGATTGATTATTTGCATGGAAAAAAAACTTCTGGAGATTTACATAGATCATTTACATAGGTAGAACATAGGAAAGTCTTTTGGGGAGATTAAGGCGAGAAGACACTCTGTCTCCCAAGGACGTATACATTGCTTTTATCTTTCCCTCTAGTTGTCTCTGTTATCAATTCTTACAATTGTTTGAAGAAACACAGTAAGGGACAAAGATTCCAACACTTAGTTCTCTGGGCTTAGTTCCTGGTTCTCTGAGAACAAGCAAGGCTTTGACCGTAAATCCCAGACTAAATCCCCCTTCCCCATGGGGGTCCTGTCTCTTAAGTCATAACTGCTTGCCTCAAGACCATGCATTTATGCCTTCTAGACTGTCCCATTTCAATGCCGGAGTAGTTTTGCCACTCGCCCCGGGTCCATCCCAGTCCCATGGCGGGACCTCCCTTTTGGGATGTTAGGAAATACAGCAACTGAAGCCGGAGTTAAGTAATTGTGGATCCCCAGGAGTAAATATATGTCAGAGTCAATCAACTCTCAAATGATAGGAACACAGCATTAACGGCCTTTTTGTGTTTAACCAAAGAACATTTCTCTATAGTAAAATATAAAAAGACTGTCGGGAAATAGAAAAGCAGATACAAATATACAGCCCTTCAAATTCAAAACACTACAAGTACAAAGTCCAGAATTACTAGAAAGTTTTGGCTTATAAGTAACCAAGACTAACTCAGGAAGCTGTGACTATGAGAGTTAAAACACAAAGGAAAGGTTAAAGATAACTAAATTAGGGATGCTCGCAAGAGCACGGTAAGCTTCTCTGGGAGGGGGGATTGGGCAATTCACTGATGAAGCCTAAAACACTTAGGGTTCACATCCAACAACTATTGATATTAAAGTGCCATATTGCGGGGCTGGAGTGATAGCACAGCAGGGAGGGCGTTTGCCTTGCACGTGGCCGACCCGGGTTCGATTCCCAGCATCCCATATGGATCCCTGAACACCGCCAGGAGTAATTCCAGAGTGCGGAGCCAGGAGGAACCCCTGTGCATCTCCAGGTGTGACCCAAAAAGCAAATAAATAAATAAATAAAATAAAGTGCCATATTGCTACACCACGTCTGCCACCACCATGAGGCCAGTATCCCTCTACGATTGTCCCTAAGTTCCTTCTGTCCTGCTTCATCCTTGCGCTCCTTGGCAGAGCCTTAGGGCTTGTTTTCATTGGCCATTGTCTCCTCCCTAGCTTCCACATGCTCCACACGGAAGCATGACCATTCAGTCATGGAAGGGACATTCCTCATGCACGTGCTGTCCTGTGTTGGCATGTTCCATCTCATTAGCATGCATGCAGTGTTCAGGTGTTGCTTCTAGGAGAACCGTAAATTGTGTTAACAGGTGGAGAAAGTCATCAAATTTGCTCCCACCCGGCCGGTCTGCTCTCCCACCCTCAGTGATAATGGAGGAAGCCAAGACCTGTTTATTTCAAGGATTTTGTCCTTTTAACATCAAACTGGATATATAAAATTTTCAGCCAGCGTACATGTAGGTGAATATCTCCTGTTCAGATAGCTTTATTATTTTTTAATTTTATTTTTTATAAAGTAGTTCACAATGTTTGATTACATTTAATATTTGAACACCAATCCCACCACCATATTTGGGATGTTTCCTTTCTGAACCCCAACCCCTGCCCCAAAGCAGAACCGAAATGATTTATTTTATATTGTTTGTTATGAATAAACCGCTGAAAATAATCCAAAAAAGTTTTCTTAGAGGAAAGTGTGTGAAGATTGTTGTATTTCACCCAAGGGGCCACTGCATTGAGCCCTTCCATAAGAGATTCTTAAAGGTTATATATATATATATATCTGTAAAAATATATTTCCCTCTTAAGATTGGTGGCCTCCTTCTTCTTCTTTAAATCTCATCAAGTGTGGTATGCTACTCTTGAATATTAGTGGTTATATAGCACTGCACTGTAGCGATAGCACAGCGGGTAGGGCGTTCGCCTTACACGCGGCCAACATGGCCGACCCGAGTTCGATTCCTCCGCCCCTCTCGGAGAGCCCGGCAAGCTACCGAGAGTATTCGATATGCCAGACACAGTAACAACAAAGTCTCCAATGGAGACGTTACTGGGCCCGCTCGAGCAAATCGACGATCAACGGGAGGGCCTTTACCTTTACCTTTATAGCACTGCACTGTAGCACTGTCCTCCCGTTCATCGATTTGCTGGAGCGGGCCCAGTAATGTCTCCATTCTGAGACTTGTTACTGTTTTTTTTGTTTTTGTTTTTGTTTTGCATATCAGATATGTCATGGGTAGCTTTCCAGGCTTTGCCGTGTGGGCAAGATACTCTCCGTAGCTTGCCGGGTTCTCCGAGAGGGGCGGAGGAATGGAACCCTGGTCGGCCGCTTGCAAGCCTCAAGGACCAGGAATAGGTTCACTCATGGGTGAGGCTTTGCCTGAGTGTGTGGAGAGCAGCCGTGAGCATGGCAGTGGCTAGTTCTGGAGGTTTTTGGCTGCCAGGGCTGGCTCTGATGGGGCAGGGAGGGGTCCCGCCTGCCCCCCTTCTGGTTGCCCCATGTTCAGATGACTTTAAAGAGACTCTTTGAGCGGCCACTGTTTGGGGGTTAGAGTCACTCTGCTGAGAACTAGAAACGAGTCAGTGAAAGAATGATTGATTAGGAGGCGGCGTCATCG